TTATATAAACTCCCTTTTCACATTGAAGGACAGTGATTTTTTCAAACAGTTATGACTTTTTGATTAGTCGTGACTTTTTTGATAAGGCATAACAAATACCTATTCATACTACTCTTTGTTGCACTATAAATAAAGGAATTTTCTCTCATTTTTAAGCTACAAATTTTCTACTCTTCCCCTTCTTAACAAACTCAAGTGAGATTTGCAGCCGTTTTTTTTTTTTTGGGTAAGGAATCCATTCAAAAAGCTACAATTTTCATGCAACTCATATACAACTTCTATGCTTATGTTAAACTAAAAACAAATGAGTTTTGACTTATTAACATTTTGAATTCTAGCTAAACAAGAAATAAATGGGATTGTTCTTATAAAAATAAAAAAAATGGGGAAAAATTTGAAATGGATAACTGTCAAATACTGAAAATAGGTTTTGTAGTGTTTCCCAATTTTCTCACCATCATAGCCAAACAAATACTACATCCGTCCACTTTTAATTGTCATAATTTCCTTTTTTAGAATCAAACTATAAAAACTTTGACCAACATTTTACATCTATTTTTTCATCATTTTGATATGCAAAAAATTGCAATTTATAGTACTCTTCATATATTTTTTAATATCTAAATTTTTTGTTTAAAATGTCAAATTAATGTAATGTAATTTAACTTTGAATATCAGTCAAATTGACTTTCGAAAAGTGCAAGAATACATCAAAGCTTCTGCATTATATTTATCTGTACTTCACGAAAAGGTTTATATTTATTCTCAGTTAGAAGTTTGACTCACTAATACCCCTACGACTAATCTTTTAGCACAGATTTACCCTATAATTTACGAAATAATTTACTTTCACCCCCTTTTTACTAACGGAGACATTAAATATATTTTTAAGAAAAGAATATGAAAGAAAATCCGTAGTTGCCCCTAAGGTTTCCAAAATGTTTACTTTTGCCTTTATTCACCAAAGGGGCCTACTATTCAAGTAGCTCCCCGAGCAACGAAGCTCGTCCATTGAATCAGCCTCCATGAGTGGTTCCCTATCCGTATCAACTGGATGAAGGTTCTGGCTGATCCATCGACTTGCCTGTTTCCGTAGATTTTTCCCATAATTCCAAGAGGACATCAACCCCAAAATGATTCTCTTCAAACACAGCCCCGCTTGCTTGCCCGGAAGAGGAAGTGATCCCTCGACGTTCTCGAATTTCGGCCGGCATTTTTGTCAATCAGCGGAAGACTCACGCATACGGGGAGGGTATGACTTCAAGGGATAAACTCAATCGAATTGCTAGTTAGAAAGTAAACTATATATGTATTAAAATCAGCATAACCAAATACGATGATTGGTTACAAGCTTACAATCCTACATAAGGAAACTATGTATTATTTATGCAGGATAAAAGATATGATAAACAAACGACCTGTAAGGGCTTCATTTAGAAGCTCAAAGTCCATTAAACCTCCTCTTAGTTTTGCAAAGTAGAGGGAGGGGTACACGGAGCGCAAAAGACATTAGGCCTATACAATGTGCATATTTGCATAGCTTTCACCTACTTACGAACACCTTAATTCCATTTCCCAAAACAGTACTCTTTGCATCGATAAACACCATTCTTAAATCTGATATAAACCCTACAAGTTTACAAACACTAGATAGTTTCGACTTCACAAAACTAGCCAACATCACAAAGGCAGAGTCTAGAGTGGCTTTGCACCTCCATTTTCTTGAACAGAGTTTACTCGAGTATGGGAACCACTCTTCTTCCTTGAATGGTTCGATTGCCCCGTGAGAGTCTTCCCCATAAACTTACCGGCTTTGCTTAGGCCACTTCCAACAGCTCCAAGACCACTACCTACCATCCCTGCACCCGCACCTAGCCCTGTTCCAACAAGACCTACTCCTGCACCAAGGCCTGTGCCTACCATGCCAACACCTGAACCCACGAGTGATGCTGCTCCGTCAAGGGCATCCATAGTGCTCCCGATGACACCTTCTGCCTTCAACCTCTTTCTTTCTTCTAGGATCTTCTTCTCCGTCTCCAGAGCAGCTAACTGCTCTTCTTTGTTGAACTCATGATACAATACCTGCCAATTTTCGGACAGCAATCAATACGTAAGAGCATAATACTACGGTGAATGAAACTTCAATAACGCAACACGTAGACTTTGTCATGTACCTTCACTGTGATAGTTCCTCTATCTTTCTTATCTTTGACTCTAAGCATGTCAAGTTTTGGCAGTAACCTTAATTCAATTTCCTTCGGAGTCTCCGCTACCAGCTCATTCAGAGGCAACTTTGTAACCCCCATTCGCTGATCTTGTCCAACGTCTTTATCAAATACCTGTTCAAAATGATCATGGATACGATTATGGAAACCCGTACAGATAAGAGGCTGAAGTGTACAGAAATTAGACCTCTAGGATAAGAGATTGAGTCTCCTTGTCTTCTGCAATCAACTCAAACGTCTGGTCCCAAACCGGATTTAGGTTGTTGTTGATGGTTTTCGTCTTCAGCTTAAATAGTGGGCGAATATATACAACTGCATACGGATCAGATTTTCCAATCATTTCATGATTTTTTAAGCTATTAGCCCTGACTACGGTCACTATAAGCTTTCCCTGAGGCTTAAGCTCCAAATCACTGCATGAAACACACAAATAACGTCACATAAAAATGAAAAATATAATAAAGACATGTTACAAGACAGAGTTATCGTTCCCATCGAAAAGACAACACTGATGGAACAGAGACAAATGATAGTATTGGTTTCAAATTGAAGTGACACAGGACCAAAGGAAGGGAGAATGACACCAAAGATTTCTATTATATTTAAGTGTTTAAACTCGGTTAAACACTTAACCGAGTGTTGAATGCTGACAGTTCTAATAACAATATTAACTTCGAAGGTAATAACATATTGTACCAAGAGAGGGTACGAAATGCAGCTGTCACTAATCCATTGCTAAAATATCAATAACATTATCAACGACTAAAATACTTTTAAAACTGAATATACCTAGTATCCACACCTACGCCAATTGGAACGACAATTCTATGAGGCCATTCTAGCATATCTGTAACAATCGAGTTTACAGTGTCCTTTCAATGAGAAAGAGATCAGAGTCAGTCTACGGAGAAAATATTCGAGTAAGAAATGTCCAGCAAGAGAACCAAGTTTTTAACACTTACATCAATCATATCCGAAATTCCAGGAAGAGCTGTTAAACTACCACCAACAGCCTTCAAAGTATAATCAATTCTTGGCTTTGGCTGAAAAAACAAACAAGGAGTCAGTTACATAAACATACATCAGAAAGTAATCACGAGAATATGAGAACTTAATTGGTAGCACATTTTATGTTGTGAAAGAAGAGAACTCGATAATTCTCTTTATTGAGCCCAAAACACTCTTATTTCACACAAAACGTAAACAAGAGCATATTTGGACCTACACACATAGTATAAGGGCGTAATTTGTCCAATTTATTAGTTCCTAACTACAATTATGAACTAACTTGTAAAGATGCATTTGTGAAGTTACTTGATTGAATTGTAATGAATTTTCCCACCAATTTAAGGCATCACATAAAGCAAATTTTGAGCAATTTTTAAGCAAATTAACATGTCATTTTATACAATTTAAATAAGAATATCTAGGTAAAGATACAACAACCATGATGTCGTAAAATAAGAAAATTCACTACATTGCTTCAACCACAAAGTATCTTTACATTTGATCAAATCACAAATACAGTTATATTGCATCAAAATACATAATCAAACCCACCAACTCCTTCAAACAAGAAATCGCCTTTAGATTCCATCAATTCTGAATTACATGTGAATTTTCTTTTTTAATTAAGGATGATTACAGATGGAAAGAATTTGTCTTGCTGACTTTTAATAAACTTTTTTGTTAGAAGGGAAGAATGTCATTTAAATTTAAGTTCTCGTGCTTTAATCTTGTTTTTCGGAAAAAGTAGGGACAACCATAACATTGCTCATCCCCCTGTCCTACTGTGAATCTCTCTTAATTTTGCGGGTTGATGGAATCTATGACATTCAATGGTTTAACAGAATGTAAAGATATTTTGTGATTTGAATCAATGTAATGAATTTTCTTGTTTTATGACATTATGGTTGTTGTATTTTTACCTAGAATTTCTAATTTAAATTGTAAAAAATGGTAAGTTACTGAAAAATGGCTTAAATATGCTATATGTGATGCCTTAAATTGGTGAAAAAAATTCATTACAATTCAATCAAATTGCTTCGTAAATGCAACTTCACAAGTTGTTGCATAATTTCAGTCAGGAACTAAATTGGACCAAATATGTTCTCGCTTAAGTTTTGTGTCAAATAGGGGCATTTTCTTACCCAATAAAGTAACGACAAGGGCATAATTAGACCCAACT